TGTTAAGCCCGTGGGGGCCGGGGCGGGGCCGGGGCCGGTGTTAAGCCCGTGGGGGCCGGGGCCGGTGTGGGGCCGGTGCGGGACCGTTGGCGGCGGGGCCGGTGGGGGCGCGGGGGGACCGTTGCCGCTGCCGTCCCCTTGGCAACAGCCCCACCCCGCCCCGCCATTGGCCGGCCCGCCGCAGGCCGGGCCCGCCGCGGCCAATGGGCGGCGGCGCTCGGGCCCCCCCGCGGGAGGGGCCGCTCCCCGCGCCGGTGGAAGCCCGGGGTTTAATTAGCTCCGCATCAGCTCGTCCCGTTAATTAGGTAGCACAGTCCCCCTCTCCCCTGTTCCCGGTGAGGATGCTCCCGGGGAGCAGGTCCCTCCACGGCCCGGTCCGGAGCAGGCAGACCCGCGCTGTCCCGGGGAGCGGGAGCACGGCCGAGCCACCTGGGGACAGGGAAGGCACCAAGGACACGGGGACACCGCGGCCGTGGCTCCTCTGGTCCCCACATCCGCTGACTGCGGCTGTCAGCTGGCACCAAGGTGCCCTCCGCTGCTCCCGGCTGGGAATGTCACTGCTGTGTTGCTGTGGAGCAGGGAGTACTGCAGCCCCCTGTCCACCACCCTCTCCACCCCAGGACAGGCCTGGGGAAGCATGATTTGGGACCCACCGTCTGCTGCTCCTCCTCTCCTCCCTCCAGCGCCCTCCCATTCCCCAGAGAAAGCCAGCACAGCTCCACCGTGGTGCTGCAGTTTCATAAAAACATACATAAATATATTTCCATTTCTGTAACAGAGAGCCAAGCTGCACAGGCACCTATAAAACACACAGTTGCTTCTCCACCCGGCACTCCCCGCACAGGTCGTATAAAACATACAAAAAGGGGGTGGGAGACAAAGGCTGCAGGTGAAGCAGGGGTACGGTGCCAAGGAGACCCTTGCTGGGGCATGGGGAGCTGCTGGGGGTCCCTGCCACATCGCCAGCCTCAGAATTTGTGCCTTCTCCGGCAGCAGCCTTTGGTCTGTTGCTGGCTGCCTGCACGGAGCGCCACGTGCGGCTCCGAGTCCATCACACCGTCCATGGCTTCTGAGGAGACGCCGGGTTTCACGGGGGAGACGTGGAAAGAAAGGTGCTGAAGGGAGAAGGGGCTGTCTGCTGCTGGCTCCCCACTGGCTCCAGCCGAGAGTGCGGGAGGGGACTGTTGGTCTCCTAATCCAGTGAGGGGGGTCTCCACGTCAGCACCTGCAACAAGAGCACACATCAGTCCTCCTGTGTGAGCCACAGGTGCTGCTGAGAGCACCACTCCCCACCTGTCTCCTATTGTCCTTGGATCCCTGCAGGGAAGCACCAGTCTCCCACATCCCCCAGGAAGCTGAACATGTCTTGGTGCCACTGCTCAGAGCATACCCCATCCCCGCAAGGGCTCTGGGTGCTGGCACAGGTCCTGTGGGCACAGGTCCAACGGGCACAAGCAGGGATGTGTACTGGGGAATGCTGACAGCCAGCTAAGCTCACAGCCTCCTGCTCTGCTCAGGAAGCACAGGCCCTTCCAAGGAGAATTTGCTCTGCCAGAACAGCCTAGGCCAAGCCAGGACGAAAAGGGGAGAACTGGGAAAAGGACACTCCTGACCCAGCCAGGCAGGCACAAAAAGCAGTTTAAGCAGTTTCCCACCTTCAGACTTGCTCTCCGAGAGCTCCAGCATCCTGAGGAGGCCCCTCTCCCGCTTTCTGGTGTCCTGCCAAGGAGAGGACAGCCACCATCATAGCACTGCCACAAGGGAACCCCATAGCCCTGTGGACACAAGTTCCCCCTCAGGCTGGGCACAAGAGGGAATGCTGAAAGTCCAGGGCCTCCAGCCACCCACAGGAAGGGCTCTGTTCTGTGTCCAGCCCAGCTAGTGCTCAAGTAGAGGCAGATGAAAGCAGTTAATTAAGAAAAACCCAGCAAGGAGGGAGGCCAGGGTGCAGGAAGCCAACCCCAAGCCCAGCTGGTGAGCACAGTGCTGTAACAGAAATGGGGGCACCAGGGGCTCTGCCACAGCTAGGACACATCCTCCAGAACTGTGCCTCCAAGGGCAGGTTCTTCCCAGTCTGTCTGAGGGCACCAAGGCTTGGCGCTGGAGGGAAGGGCCTTCCTTCAGGGCAGAGCCAGATGAGGAATGCACCTCTTGTACCCCCTTTCAGCCCCTGAGAAGATGCAGCCACGCTGGTCACACAGGCTAAGGGAAGACCACTTGGGCTGGCTCCTTTGACCCTCACTGGCCCAGCAAAGTCCCCTCTTCTGGCTGCTCTCTGCCCCCAAAACTGCTCTAGAAGGCACTGGTGTCCCAGCTGTGGGTTGGAGCTGCAAAGCATCCCAAAATGGGCCATGGCAAAAATCCACAAGCCCAACAGAGCCACTAGGAAGCTTTCCAATGGCCCATCCCATGCCCAGTCGTGACCTATTCCCCCAGTGAGCTGCCACCTGAGCTGCCACCTCAGCACAAGACAGGGCCAGAGGTAACACAGAGCCTTGCCAAGCCAACCCCAAAGAGCCACCTGGCTCCAGCATCTTTCCTGCATGCAGGACCTGCACACCAGCCAGCTGTGGGGCGCAGGGACAGAGTCAAACAGCCCCCACAGAGCCAGTCACATGCAGGAGCAGCCGTGCCCTGCAGTACTCTGAACCACACAGCGCTTGGCTGTATCCCAGCCAAAATCATCAACCAGAAATCTCATCATTTGCATCTGAATCCCCAAAGGGCTGAGGCCTGTGATGGATTTAAGGGATTATACAAAACTAAGACATCATGTTGCATCTTCATGCCGTGAATCACATTTCTGAGCACAGGCAAAGCTGCAGCACTAGGGCTTTGCCTGCAGAAACCAGCAGGAAGGACTTGGAAGGACCCTCTCTGTGCTCCCCCGGGACCACTGTGAGCAGGAAAAAGCACAGTGGGGGCCAACACCTGACTGTGAGCCAGCTGCCACACACACTCCTGCCTCCCACCTCCTCTACCGAGGCACATTCCCCACACCCCACACACCTCCACTGCACTCGCTCCCCCACAATTCTCCTGGGATGCTGTGGTTTGCTCCCAGCACAATTCCCCCTGCTCTGTCTCTGAAGCCTCCCCCGTGGGAAAGGACTTGTGGATGGACTCAGATAGGCTTGTCATCCTGGCGGTGCCCCACACTCCATCGACATTCAGCCGAGGAAGGCTGCAGGATTGAGGCACACTGGCTGGCAGAGGGACAGCCCTGGCTGTCTGCCCACTGGAGAGGTTACTGGCAGCTCTGCTGGATTAGCTCACCCCTGGGACCAGTCCGTGCTCTCACCGAGCATAGCAGGAAGGAGGGCAATGAGTTCTCTGCCCACAGTGGCCCACAGGGACAGGCAATCCTACATCAGGTCAGCTCATCCCCATCAACCAGGGAAGCAGCTCCTGCTGCCAAGCCAGCCCCATACCCAGCGCAAAGCAAAGGAGACGGTATGCAGGGTCGCCCCTCACCTTGGCTCTTCGCAGCCTCCTGGTTCCCTGAGCTTGCCTAGCAGCCTGAAGGCAGCTGTCCACGTGCCTCTGATACTGCAGCAGTGGCACCAGTGACTTACAGAGGTAGCACTTCTCACACCTGCCAGGCAGCAAAGGACAGAGCACTGCATTAGGATTCACCCTGCACTGGGCTCCCAGACACCAGCGGTGACTTTCCTCCTCCAGGCCACGCCACGGAGAAGACGTGTCACCAAATCCAGTCTTGCTCAGTGAGGTCGGGCCAGCACCAATCACAAAGACTGAGTGATTATCAGTTTTCCCTGCCTGTTCCTCTGTATCCTGCTGCTGCAGCAGCAGGACAGTAATCAAATCTGTTCATCTAACTATCTGAAACACCACTGATTTCTCCCCAGACATAAAGCACCCTGTCAAAATCTACAGAAATGAAGTGCACGGGCTTTGCAAAGGGGAGCTAAATTCTGCCTGAAAAGCAAACCAAGTGTGTTAAATCAGAGAGACATTTTACCAGGGCTGGATGAACTTGTCTGACTAGTAAATCAAGTCTTTCTCTGCACTGTCTCCATTTTACATCATGCCATGCAGGGAGAGGAATTGCAGAGCACGTGCTCCTGCTGGGGGGCTGGCTCAGCCTGTTTCTCAAATCCCCTCATTTGAGTAGAAGATGCCCAGGCTCATGCAGGACAACCGAATGTTCTTGGGAAGAAAATCATGCTGGGTGAAAGGAGATGAAGGTCAGGCATGGATTTACACAGCTACACTTGCTTCCACACCAGGGAACCATGGTCTGCAGGGACTGAACCGTGCAGGAGAGGACACTGGCTCTTCAGAATGAATTCAGGAATGGACCATCTCCAAGAAGAGACAAAGCCCCCAGGGACCAGCCCCAGCAGCATTGCGTTCAGTTTGATAGTGGTACTCTCTTAGTGAAACACCCCAGGCTCTAAAATGCATATGGAGAGCCCCCATCGAGCAAAACTCTGCAGTACTTTTCCCGTATTTTCTTTCCAGTCAGTGCTGATTACCCAGATAATGTGTCTAAACAGAAGCTGTCCTCTCTATAATTAGCCTAATTCCATTAGTGATGTTGCCATCCACTGTTTGTAGCAGCAAAATTGCTTCCATAGCAAGGATTTTACTGTCAGATCCTCTCTTATGATGCTTTGTGTGGGTGGCAGGAGGAGGGGCTGCATGGAAAGAGATTAAACAAAGCCACTGCTATTCTGAAAGTCTAATTTAATTAAGAATATCACTACAGGTGCCATGTTGACAGCCTCCATGTCCTGGCCTCTTCTTTTCCTGGGGTTACCAAGCTCAAATCTCCCATTAGAAACCAGCTGAGTTAGCACCCTTTTAGCTACAGCTCCACCCCAGCAGCCACACGCCCCTGACCCACCATGGATTGGGCTGAAAGAAAATCAGTGCAAAAATAAACAATCTGAGAACAGCAAATTCCTCTTGCTTCAGTTTAAATATAGCCAGCACTGCAACAAGAGCCACTGACAGAAGGCAATTTCTTAGGGAAACACTGCTATAAAGCCAACGGCCAGCATTTGTACAGGAATAAAGACATCCACAGCCTAGCTAGAATGGAAGCATGGAAACAATCTTGGAGAAGGCAAGCATACCTACTTACTTGTCAATGTCTAAGGATGAAGGGCTGCCTTCACCACTGGCAGCTTTATTTCTTGCCTCTCTCTGACGCCGGGTGAGCACTGGAGGAAAAACGAAAAGGGTTAACAGAGAGGGTACTACTGTCCACCCCAAAACCACCCCTACACCATGCTCAACTGCAACAAGTTTCCATTGCTTTCACTCAGGGCTGCAGCACAAGTGATGGTAGAGGCAAACACTGGACTGGGACCAGCAGAGTCTTCTTTCCTGAAGAACAGGTTGCTGACCAACTCTCCCTTTTTCCCCTTAGGGATACTGAAGAATGTATCTTTCCCAGACTTGGAAGCCAGCCAAACATTTCACACCTAACTTGTCTTCAGCCAGAAACAGCTGGATCGACAGTATGTAGTTTACAGGAATTTTAAAGCTGACGCGCAGCAGCGCGATAGCCCGGGAGAAGCGTTATCCAGCTGCTCCAGCAGCACAGCACCACTCCCTGCCAATCCAGGCTCCCGTGCCTGCTGCAGGGAGGGAATGTGGCAGCTGTGAGCTCGGGGACATGGTGAGCTGAGGCAGGGGCTGTGCAGAGGCACCGGCCCTTCTGCTGATGTGGCAGGGAGAGCCTTGCAGGGGAGGGCACAGCTCACATGGGAAAGGGAAGGTTACAACAATTAGCCCCGCAGTTGTCGCTTTCCCACAGCCCATATGAACCAGGGTGACCAGTGCTATTGTCCACATACAGCTCTGGGGGTCCCCTGCATGACGATCTCTACTAGGAGCAGTGCTGCTCTCCGGTAGTTCCAACACATGTGGGTAGCAAAGGAGATCCCAGCTGAGCAGCTGATGATGGGTCCAAAAATTTCTGTTCCCTCGGCAAGCCCAAGCAGCCCTTCCCAACTGGCTCTGCAGGCATCTGCAGGGAGCATGTTGGAGCGTTGTCCCTTTCAGTCGAATTCCTCTCAGCGTATTCCTGTTGACATACCACCAGCAAAGATCCTCAGGGAACATTTCAGATAGCTTAGCTTGCTTCACCAGGGACGTTCAAGACTCCAGCTCCAAAACAGATGTCACAGTAAGCGCTCTCAGGCACGCTGGCTAAGGGGACAATGCAGGGAGCTGTTTTACGGCTCGGTGACGCTGCTTCCCATACTGACATTAGAAAAGGTCTGAATCCAAGGTATAGGCACAACAAACCTGTTTTTGTTGGCACGTCATCTATGATAAAGAAAGCAACGCACAAAAATTTGTGCAGAATAAAGGGAATTCTTCTGAGTTTTAGCTAAACCCCATTTCCAAAGTGTTGGGCAACCCCAATATCTATCCAAGGCAACACCACAGCCTTTCCCTTAGCAGCAATCACTGATCTGCAGCCACAACCAGCAATGCACTGCAAGGTGCTCAGGAGCTGTTGGGGCTGACAGGAGACAACCACACTGAAGAAACAAGCTCGAGCGTTTCCTAGGATGTGGGTATTGTCTCGTAGGCGATGACTGATACCAACAGCTCATCTCTCACAGGAACTGAAGCAAACGTCTCTCTTTAACATAGCCTGGCCCAGATTCAAAGTGGCAGCCTGACTAGGAGGCTGGTAACGATGGCCACCCCCCAGGCCACCCAGCCTCCCAAGAACCCAACCAACACATGTGTTTGACAGCATGGTGAGAGCTGCTCTCCAAACCAGCGTGCGCTCGTTAATATTCTTTTAACACCGTCTCGGGAGCCTTGTGCACCAGCTCAGGTGTTAATCAGTTCTATTTTCTTCCAAAGGCAGTGAACACATCTGGCATAATGGGCCCATTAGAGATGTCTGGGACTAGCTCTGCAGCTGCCCAGGGGGAGACCCTCAGCTGTGTTGCTGGAAGAAGCAGCGCAGGAGAGAGAACAGGGCCAGCTGGTGAGGCACGACCCCTGCCAAAACACTTCAGTCACCCACAAGAAGGTAGTTCAGAATACAGGAAAAGACTTGCCGCAGGGAAAATCCCCACCACAGAGCAGTGCTGACCTGCTGTGTGACAGGAGCCTTGTAACTCTCCCAAATGCAATGCTCTTTGCTGGGTCAGACATGCTCCGTAGTCCAACAACCACCTTTTCCCTCACTCGGCATTTCTTCTGGTTGACAAGTCATCCTTGGCCTCTTTGGTTTCAACGTGCACCCTGGGGGAGAGGAGCAAACCCTCCCCAGCACGGCCCCACTATCAGCCCAGCTCAGGCACCTCCCGGGGCTGCAAGGCCAGAGCCACTGAGCTCCTCACCTTGCTGCTTGGCCCACCAGCTTCCTCCCTGTGCTGATTGCCAGCTGTGCCACTTCTGTGCAGGATCTTTTACTGTCCAGCTCACGGCATCTTGTCCCTTCTCAGAAGCCATCCAGCTTCCTCTACACGCATTCCCTTACTCTTTCTGCTGTATTAGTGCCACTTCTACTGATGTCAGGAGTTTTTTAACAACACCAGTGCTGCTGCTGAAGACTGACAGCTGCACCACACTGCATTTGAGCCTTTGGGAGGAAGGGACACACCAAATCCTCATCTCCCTGAGCTCACTTGGGAAACAAGATGTCGGATGCATGTAGATGGAGGGTAAGAGGCATCAAGTATGTCACAAAGCTTGAGAGTATTTGCTGCACTCAGTAGCAGCCAAGACTAGCTTCCAGGGTGAAACCAGCAGATTCCTGCGTTGGCAGCAGCAGCAGGCGATGGATATGGTGGCTCCAGCAGAGCCCTCTCACACAGCCTCTCTCACACAAGTGAGCCCTTCAGTTGAGTGCATGAAGAAAGAGGGAGCTGGCACAGCACTTCCACAGATCCACTTGTTCGTTTGGAATTAACACCAGCCACTGAGCTGGAAACCCAGGACCTGAACCTTCCCCAGCCTGGTACAGGGGCTAACACAACAGCAGGCTCTTCTTTTTTATTTACTCAGATCACAGGAAAATGGAAATTCATGACCAGATTTTCATACTGCCCAGGTGTTTGGTGGTCTGGGCATCCAGCCAGGGTGTCCATGTGTGTAGGGAAAGTGACTGTAACTCATCTTGCCCAGCTAACTCATTTGAAAATCTGTCCTTAGATATCAGCCAGGCTGAGCTGGTCTCCTGAGACCTAACACCAAGAGACTTTGGTGCATGATTAGAAGAGAGAAGAAGAGAAATAAAACCAGCAAGAACCCATCCTTTTGTAATATTAAAATGAAAACCACTGACAGCTGTAGTTTGCAGAACTGCATAATCTGCAATTCTAGAGACATCAGGAGTAAGTCCAATTAATAAATCTGAAGACAGATCAGGAACCCCTGACCCAGTGCACCAAAGGAAAATTGAAGCAGTCTTTTCTTAACAGATCAGGACATGGGTTAGAGTAGTGAACTCTGATTTCTTCTCACACGAGGCTGTTGCTGTGCTCTTGAGGAAGCCAGCAGCCAGCCAAGAGCACACGGTGCTGCAGCAGTACAGAACAGCTTCTGGACCCACACAGGAGCTGGCATTTGCCTCAGAAGACAATTCTCTCACCTCTTTTTTTCTCCCCATGCATTAGCTTTACCTGTGGATTTTGTGCTAGCAATGGATGCCAAGGTAACAGCCCTGGAAACAGAGTCCTTTTGTACCTGCACAGCTGTGCCAGGCTACTGTGTGGCCTCTGCTCAGAGCTGAACATCCCCCCTGCCTATTCAACCCAAAATCCAATGATCAGCCCATCAGCTGAGACCCTCCTGGGTGACTCTTGCCTTCCAACAGATGCTGGGAACTGGCCCAAGATGCCCTGTGACCCATAGTCCCACAAGCAAGCACAGGATTCTGCCCAAGCCCTGGAAGCCCCTGGTCCTTCAAAGAGTCTGGGTGCAAACAACACAGGTGTCATAGACTGCTATGGATAATAGAGTCTGGTCTCTACAGGGAAAATACCAGAATAGCTGGCAATAGAAAACCCAAATTATTGTGATTTTGTCCCAAACCCATTGCTCTGCTTACAGCCATTATTGCAGAGCAAAATCCCTTTTACTCCAGGCTGGTTTTCTTATGGGGGGATTATTCTGAACAAGACAGAACAGCAGAGTAGCAATTCCAAAATAACTACCCTTACAAACATCCCCAAGGAAACCAGTCTGGAGTAGAGTGGAGAGGCCAGCCTTGAACTCTGTCCTGCTGAAAGCCAACACCAAAGGGAAGAACAAATTCCCTCGCACTGCCAAAGAATTCAAAGCTTTTTCTTGATCACAGTCAGGATTCCCCAGGATCAATGGAAATGCTCACAGTCCAGCCACACCAGGGACCCAAATACCACAGGGCCAAAGACATTCCTGCTAAAAGGCATACTAAAAATTCTGTTCCATTTTGTAGCATGGATAACACCTTTATCAGTGTTGAGGATAGAACTGTGATAATTTGTGATTTGCCTGAGCCAAATGCTTTGCATTAGTAGCAGGGCTGTGCCTACAGAGAGAACTTCCCACCAAAATTAAGCACCAGCCAGTATCAGCCACTACTCTGGTTCCTGTTATCTTGACAGGACCCATGTCACATCCCCAAAGATTTAGTATAACAGGGACCTTGTTCAGGAACTACATCAACTCTGCATTAAGATTACATGGTGAAACTTCCTCCTGCTAGAGGAATGCAGAAGTTACAGTTCTTGTACTAGCTCTGATTTGCTCAAATTGTTTAAACATCGTAGATTTAGGTTGCATGTAATAACCCAGAATGTAACTGAAAATTATATATTCACAACCTGAAAAGTTAATCTTATTACAAGCTACTACTTTGATATTACCTGACATTGTGCTAACACAGATTTTACATTTCAAGCAGCAGCTAAAACATAACTTACTGAATATGTTGATAACCAACCAGTGTATTTGTTCACTTAAGCTCTACAAAGGTTGGCTATGGAAACCTGATATAAAAAAGACTGCAAAGAGGATTAATACGGGCATTCTGACCGTGCTTCTACACCTCACTCTTCAAATGAAGGAGAAAAATCCATACTCCCAGATTGATAGTTATCATTTTGCAATTTTAGTGGAACAAGAGGGAAACTTTTCTGCAATCTCTGCCACCCGAACAAGCCATTTTAGTACATACAAATGTCAGACTCCATGCAGAGCACAGGCCATGCTTGGAGTGGTACAGAACATTTTTCCTTCTCAAGAGCCCTGAAGGACATAAGACTTCCATTTCCTATCACTGCCACATTCTCTGCAGGTCCTCAACAAAACACACAATAGACATGTCTTATGAGAACTGCTTGAAGCATCCAGGACTAGATCCTGGGGCAATATTCAGGACCCGATAATGTGGTGAATTGTTGTGCGAAGTCAATCAGAGATGTCTCTGTACAGGAAGTGCTGGAAACACCAGAGCCTCTGAATAACACTCTCCTGAACAGCGTGGAGGCAGAATAAAGCAGAGCAAACCTCCCCACATGTCATGCACCAAATATCCCAAGAAGAACAAGACTGCAGCACCTGTCTGCCAAGTAACAGTAGGGAAGGGGGACGAGCACAAGGAGCAAACACTTGCACTTGGCAGACCTGGAGTGTCCCTGCCAGCCTCTGCTCCCACGATGCCGTTGCAGTACATGGCATGGAGCTCGATCTCTGCAGCTGGAAAGCTGTGATCACACAGCGGGCACGACACATGGGCAGCAGCTGTAGGACTGCGCTTGGACACAGTCCCACCAGCATCTTCATCTCCACCAACCTAAGAAGAAGAAGAAGAAAAATTAGCCAGATAGTGATGTTTCTCTTTTTTTGCTAGGTGCAGAGCTCCATGCTGTCTGGTAGCTACTCACCCTGCCACAGACTCAGTTTTTCTTGGAAAGTTTTATTCTTCCTCCATCACATAGGGGTCAGAAATAAGACCACTGGCTGAGTAAACGGCGCTGCACTAACAACTAATTCTTCTTGCAAAGGCAACATGTCCTTCTGAATCATGGTGAAACCTCTCTGCACAGCCATGCACACCATTTAAGGCAAACATCACCTGTACTACTGTGGAAAAATGGTAAGGCTTCCATTAATCAGGAAAGCTCAGAAGCGAAACTGATGGAAAATTCATGGGGCAAAGCAAGAGTTCAACACCTGACTTGTGCTCATCAGTTTCTGGACATGATCCACGCTACACAGGCAGCACTGTCTGGGAACACAGCTTCCCCCAGGATGAAAGGAGGCTGCTGTGGTCTTAGGGAGCAAGGAGAGATCACTGGAAGCTCCTCCTCTGTAGAGGAGGTGGCTGGAGCAATCATCAGAGGGGACACCGATCAAGGAGAGAGGCAATACCGTTGAAAATTCGTGTCACAAAATTACCGGCGGAGGCTTTTTGCCAGGGCAGGATGTCACAGCTCGTGTATGTTCTCAGGGTGCCATTACCACTTACTGACACCCTCTTTTTGCATTGGTCACAAAGCTGCAAAGGTGTTCCACTACCCACCCACGGAGATCTAGCCTGCTCCCTATGCTACTGACATTCCCAAATGCAGCAGACTGCAGCCATCTCACTCATAACTACATCTCTGCCCAGTCAGGCTTGCTGCAAGATCTTTTCACATTTAAGAAAGAACCTTTCCCTCCCTGCAATGATTAAAAAAAGCTACTTAAATATTACCCATGTAGAAAAAACCTATAGGAAAATAACATGGAAGGGGTTTCTGTTTAGAGCTAAGCAGTGACATGTAGACAGTGTGCAGCAGAACTGCCGTCTGCTTTCCTCCAACAGTATCATTTCAGGGAAGCAGTAATTGGGGTCAGCCAAGATGCTCCGTGCCACTGGAGCGCTTAGTCGTATTACTCGGTTTATTACTTCCTTTCCCAGATTGGGATCTGATTCTGGGGTTTATGTCCTAAAGGGAAGGAGGCTGTTTTTGTTGACTCCGAGGAGCTATGTCAAAAATTGCAGGACTGGGCCTTAAACTGAGATTCCGACTCATGGATAGCATTTCTCCCAGATACCAGCTACAGCACCAAGCCCCAGGAACATCTCTTTCATTCCCAGGGAGGCTCTCTGCCCTGGATTTCTGTGGAGGAGTTGCCACAAGAGTTCCTCCAGACGAACACAAGCTGCTGAAGTACATCACTTACAGCATTAGCGCTCGTACCCCTCTCTCACATCTCAGTGTCACTGCATCGTGTGAAGTCCTCACTGTGGGGTGTCACACACAAGAGCCATAAAAAACAAGATGTGTCAAATATGAATGATCAAATCAAACCTGCACTATCCCAGTCAGACAACACACGTAAAAAATATGATGGGAAAAGCAGCAGGCACTGCTCCTTCTAGCTGCCTTTTTTAAAGCAATCTTAGGAGATCACCGGTTCTACACACCCTGCCCGCCTACATTCGATGGTAAATTACTAATTTTAAATGGAAATGCAACATTCTGTAACAAAAGACACCACAGTTCCAAAACTGCTTGTACAAAACCTTGCTGTAACAGTCTGGAAAATCTCAACTGCAGAACCAATCACCCCTGTCAGAGGCAGAGACAGTTGCCTCTGCTCTTTAGCAGAGGAAATTGCCTACAAGATATAGTACTTGCAGCCAACAGCCAGCCAAAAGCAATGCTAGAGGCTGAGCTCAACAACAAGACTCCTGTGTCCTGGCTCAGCATCTGCTAGGAAGAAGCCAGTCCCAGTGGTCTAGGCTCAGCTCATGCAAACTGCTGATGCCATGGTAGCTGTTTCTGCTGTCTTCCTGGAGGGCTGCGGGCTCCGGACCAGGACCTGCTGCCAGCCATAATGTTGTCAAACAATCCCTAGGAACCTGCTCCCCACCACTTTGCTGATCACCTTGTGCCATCCAGGCAGAGGTGTGAGACCCAGGGCACCTTCTGCAGAGCACGAGGGACAGGACAGAGTCCTGGCCACAGCCAAATGGGTCACAAACGTGCTTCGGTGGCCAGCCCAGGATCAACCCTCTCCCTGCTGCAGTCCCTAATTGACTGAGCAGTGCTTGGAGATACCTGCAGAATGAAAGGCACACGAGAGCAGAAGATGGTTTATTAAGAGGCCTGTGAGAATGAGGAGCTGCAGACATGCTGTACAAGCTGCAAACTCCCAGAATGAGCTTTCCACAAATGAGTCCTCTTGTCAAGAGCTGTACGATTCTGTATCCATGTACCCTGCCAGAGGAGTACTTGGCAACCCCTTTGATATTGCTCTCTAAATTAATAGACAAAGGGAGTTTTATCAGAAGCAGGAACTGAAGTCAGGTGTTGGTACAGTGACAGCTGCAAAGCAATTGCTGTGCAGGTGTGACAACGCAGGGAAAGGAGCTGCACACAGAGCACATCTGCAGTGAGAGGTAAGAGGATGGCCCTGCCACTGAATTACTATTGCTATCAACTATTACTGCACAGAAAGCAACATTCCCGGCTCAGGACACTTTGCTTGGCCTGTAAACCACCACCAGCCCTCAACACTTCAAGGACATCTTTATCCCAGTCCAGTCTTTGGGTGAAGCTCTCTTCTTAGCCTTTTGAAGATGGTCTGTTGGAGAGCAAACACTGGAATTCAGAGGATTGTAACAGGGAAAAGCATGTCACAACAAGAGTGACTGAGGTTTCCTAGGACACCCCTCACAGCTCCTGGGGTCCCTCTGCATCACTGAGCATCACAGCACTGCACCCCTGAGCATGGGCAAGCAACAGCCCTGCCACCCACGCTGATGGCATCCTCCAGCACAGCAGTGTAAGGGTACAAAAGAATGGGCTGGAATTGATAACAGCTCTCCAGCTATAGGACTGAAAGGCTCCAAGCAGCTGCATGCAGTTCCCAGCCAAAAGGGATTGGAGATATGAAGCAGCAGAGAAAAGCAAAGCGGGAACTGTTTATGGAGGATCCAAATAGCAGAAGTCCAAGCTCCCAGCTACCCAAGGGGAAATGCCAGCACAGCTCAGCTGAACCAGGGTCTAGAAAGTAGGACTGGAAACAGAACCCTTCCCAAACTTCCAGCTCTTTTACCTGCATAGGTGCATCTCTGCTGTCTGGGCAGAGCTCTCCTCTCCCCTCCTCAACAGCTTCCAATGGGCTCGTCTGTGTCTCTGCAGAAAAACACCTTCATGTCAGCACAGGTTTGCAGCCCCCAAACTACCTCCTCACTTCCTGATGTAACTTAGCCCTTAATGCTTCTTCACACAGTTTTCACAGTTCCAAAACATTTTTCAGACTTGCCACAAATGTTATCAGACAATGTGCAACAACACAGCCAGATGAGGGGTTAAAGTCACAGCATGGTGGTGTGAGGACAAAGCCACCACAGCTTTGCAGCTTCATGGGGAGTGAGATTAGACACAAGGAAAGTGCGTGGGACACTTGCTGGGATGGAGACAAAGCAAGAATAGAGCTGCTCTCGCATCAAGACAAGCAGAGCTCCCATTCTGTGGTCTGCCTTGCAGTTGCACCATCTTTAGACCCCCACATTTTCCTTAGCAACAAAATATGCCACCAAGCACCACCATGACCTCTCCTGCTATGGCTGCTCGTGAACAGGAACAGTCCCTTCATTAATTTTCTCACTTAAAACACTGGACTGGAAAACCTCAAACATGGTAGGAGAGACTGAGGAAGAAAAAGTCGCTGGTCCAAAACATGTTTAATTAATGTAAGCCAGAAATTATTTCAGCTCTCACGCTTTGCACATTATCTTGACACTGAAAAATCTGAAAATCTGATTGCAATGCAGAGACCACTCCTGACACCTTGTTTTGAGTGAGCCCTCCATGCTGATGCACATCCTCATGCCTCTTCAGCAGCAAGTCCCCAACAAACCCTGTCACAGAATAGTTTTAGAGGAAATGGGTCCAAAACTAGGGGATCAAACTACATCACCTGGATAATTTTAGCCCTGACAAATGGAGAAGGGAAAGAAATCTTTCCCTTTTTGTTCAAGTAACTTGAAAATTCTCTTCTTTCCTCTGAATTCCATAAGTGTGCAACTTTCGGTACAAAATTCATAACATTCTCAAGTGCCTTTACCTGGGCAAACAGAGATCTCTTCTTCAGCAGAGTTTTCTGTGGCAATATCTGGGCTCCTTTTACTGCCAAGTGGGGTCATCGTGGAGATGCTGTTCAAAATATAAATATAATATGAATCTCCAGTCCAATAGGTGTGAGTGCCACACCTGCCTGTCTCACGCAGTTCAGAACAGCAGATGATGCCATAATTTCCAAGTGGTCAGTATGATTCTGACAGCCAGAAATGACCAGGATAACAGGAAAATATGGATCTAAAACGCCATCCTAAGCAAACACCCCAAAGGGAACATTTTTTTCTTCTAGAAACCCTTGACAAAAAGGCAGAAAGGGTACACTATCTCTTGTCAGGGGAGCAAAACTACCTGCTCACAACAACTGTGTGACTCTCTATGGGAGAAGACTTGGGAGTTGTGCAGGTAGCAGCACTGTGCCTCTTTTTGCCTGGGGAAGGAAATCCTCACAGAGGAAAGACAGACCTGCTTTATCCCACATTATCCTCTCCCTCCTCACACTGTTCATTTTCTCCCTTATCCCTGTGCACGGCAGCCAGAAGCAGCACGGATGTGACACAAGGCATTTTCCTTGCAGCAAAATCCTTACAGCATTAGGGTAGTGGTTCCTTGGAGCAGCACCAGGCATCGCTCCTCTCATTTTGACCTTCGGATTCCTCCTTTTTTTTTCCTCCCCCCTCACTGCACAATGTCTTTCCGAACCAGGCAGGCATTGCTGAGGAAGTCTAGCACCCATGCTGATACACTCCACGCCTTGCGTGGCTTTCTGATTAGTCTGATCAAGTATGCAAGAACACACTTTAAAAACATGAATCCCCACACTGACAAACAGAAGATTTATTAAGCTCAACCACAGGCCTTAGAGAGGAGAGAACAGCCACTGCTGATTTATGATAAATAACAAAATTCTGATAGGAAATCACAAGTGGCTTTTCTCTCTAAATAAAGCATCTCAAAGCATTTGTTATGAGTCCAGGCTGAGCATGTTTTACTCTGTGTCTAACATCAGGGCTCTCTTCAAAAGAACTCACACAAAACAACTTGCTATGACATTTATAAAATGGGCTAATCAATTTGAAGTCAAACCACATTTCTTGCTACACCAACTATCTCTTGGTAACAAAGCCTATAATCATTTATTAAAACCCCAATCTTCCATGCTCCATACAAAGAGTAAAACAAGCAGGGAGAGTGGCCCACAGAAAGCAAAGCAGCCTCTTCCCAGGGCTGGCACTTCCTAAACTGCTCCACTCCCTCCAGACAGCTCAGAGCCGTGTTTTCCTATTAAGTGAGGCTGAGGCCAGCCGGTCAGGGTGCCTGAGCCCTACCCGAGAGAGGCCTGTGCTGGCAAATTACCAGGAGCCAGATGGCAACGCTTAATGTGCACAGAACTGCAAAGACTGCAGCCATTTCTTGCTTTCCTGCAGATGTTCCAGCTGCCCGAGGAGGGAGCGCTGAAACCAGGTGCATCCAACCCCAAGGCAGGCAGCTCCTGGGTGGCTTGGGGAATGTCCCAGACTAACCCCATCAGCTACACCAAAGGAATGAGGTCCCTCTCTTTCTATATCCTCCATATCCTGGCCTCTCCTGCCCTAAGCAGGCGAGAGGCCAGCGCTGCAGAGCACACACCTCGCTGCCTTCTACGCAAGCTCAGACCTCAGCTGTCACAAACTCGTCAGCCTCAGCAGCAGTGGCAGCTGCAGGTTCCTCCTGCTCCCCAAGGCAGGTTTTAAGCTTGTTAGAAAGGTGCAAGCAGGAGGGATTTTCATACTCTGCATATTGATAATAACTGTTCAGGCCAAATGCTGTTAGATCAGAGAAAAGTTGGCAGTTTTGTTCCAAAGCAGGTTTAAATTATAAAACCCAGCAAATTAAAAACATGACATTATCTGGCCTCTCTTGTAACTTGCTCCCTAAATCCTCTCCCATTTGTCCTTCTTCTCCACAGTCTTTGCTTGAGAATTGCATCCCACAGGAAGGAGAAGGAAAAAAAAAAAAAACAAGGAAAGAGGAGTAGGCTTAAATCTGAAGAAAATCATGTTGACTTGTCCCACACCTGTCATCTGCTGAAGTGGCTTTTCTGGAGCACTGCACTCTATCTTTGGCTGATAGGCAGTGCCGTCTGGCTTCCTCTTCCCTGCTTTCCTCTTCAGCAGTAAGGCAGGAACATAAAAATACACACAGAAATCCAGTAAACCCTCCACCATGCTGCCTATGCTCCTTCCCCGATAGACACGTGATGGCATCGCTGTAATTCACCTTCAGCTCCCCCACCCACCCCCAGAGCTGTACTGCACTGTGTTACAGGAGCTTCAGAGGGCAAGGACCAAGTCCTCCAACTTGCACAAGGGTGCACTTGCACATCTTATAAAGTAACTGATCCTTTCTCCCCAGTTGTGCCTCACCTCTCTCCCACGCTGCTCCAAAGCCAGGGATATCTAACAGCAGTGGCTGCAGAAGCCTTTCCAGCAAGCCCTGCAGCAAGCCACAATGGGATTGCACCCTGAAATACTCCAGGGAGAGTGAAAGAGCCCATATCACTGTGAGCCCCACACTCAGAAATTATCCTACTCACCTCTGTGCAATTTGCATCGGCTCCCCTTCTTCATGTGCATCCTCTGCAGGGAGCACCTGGGAGGCCTGGAAAAGAAAATTCTGATGTTATATAAAACAATATGCACAGCTGACAGGTCTGCTGGGTCATCAGATTCTGTCCATGACACTGCACCCACTCTGCTGTATATTTTTATTTGAAAATGCCTCAGTATCCATCTGGAACTACTCAGCTTTTTCCCTCCATCCCTCTTTTTGGGAAGGTGTTTCAGCAGCTGCCTGAAATAAAGCCAGGCAGTACTTTTTGTTACCTTGCTGCCTAGACATGTTCCTGGACAGTGCCAGGACTGTCAACTCATTCCAGCACTGTCCATCACCTTCCATGCTCTCTGCCTGTTCTAAGCATCCACCTCAATGTACTTGTAGGCAGCAACCACAGCTCTCCTCCATATCCACCCATGCTGAGCTAAACAACCCAAAGTTTTTAGTGTTCCCTGCACTCCCCCAGGCATCCTAGCAGCCCTCACCTACTCAACTTTAAAACCTGTTTTCTTGAGGTGGAATGACCTGATCAACTGGTACAGCCGGTGTTTGACCATAAGAAGCACTTTTCTGAAATTTCCTAGAAATAAAATCCGTTGTGTTTTTCTTGCCTGCGAAATCAGTTGTCCCATCAAAGAGAGGGAACAGATTAACCTGCACAATCTATAGCTGGTAAATCTGTGTGCATTTTATCCCATTTTTCATTTAGCTCTACGACTCCACTTATTCTTTCCTTTAAAATTTGTTCAAAAGCCTTATGCACTGCCGAGGTCAGGGTAACATGCCAGTTATTACCCAGATCCCTTTCTTCTTCTGCAGTGTACACGTTACACTTGCCATCCTCTAATCAGGTGGAATTACAACAGTTTATTAGCAGTCCTTGCTGTCAGTTCTCATGCTAGTTCTCACAGAAGGGTTTTCCAACCCCTTCCTTGAGTCTATCAAACTCTCCAAGTACAATTTCCACCATAGGTTTCAATTTCGATCAGCTCCACTCCTGGATGGCTGATGTACTTCCCCAGCAAGCCCCAAATCAAGGCCTCCTGTCAGATTTCCCTAATGTGATTCCAACCCCCAAATATTCTGTTTTGTCTATGCTGTTCTTTACTTCTTTGCAGCCTAATTCACCATTAACATAAAATACCATACCTCCTCCTTTATTTTTATTTCTCTTTGTCCTGAACTGTGCATATGTTAACAATGCTTCTGCCCTGGTCACGAACATTGGTCCATGTTTCTGGTTTTCCCAAGTACATCTGTTATAAAATATGGCACTAATTCAGGTCACCAGACTCTAAATCTCCAGAATTGTGCCTTTTCCCTCTGAATCTTTTAAAGACCAAGAGTCCCCTAACCTTATTTGAAAGGCTCTGAAGGAATTGATTCTATTAGCGCTGAAGTTTGTTAGTGCAGGTTCACGGGCTGTGAGATCTTCCGACAACCAGGATTTGCTTTGTGCAAACATCCCTTGGCTGCAGGAGACAGTGGCAGCAGTCAGTTGCTGGCAGGGTGGAAAGTCTGTGTCTGCCCCAGGTGAGGTTTTCAGGGCAGGGGCACAGGCAGCCTCCCTCAAGCACATCATCTGCACCTTCATTTCAGTGGTATAACACACAGCATGAGGCCTTTTTAAGGACAGATTTGAGTCCTTTTCAAGGACAGATTTGAGTCCTTTTCAAGGATGATTTCTAACCTTGGCACAGCCTAAAATTCCCACTAGGCCCCCCAGCAGAGCAGCCCTGGTGGCACTGAGGGAGCCTCAGGGCAGCACAGGCAGCAAAGGGTCTCCAAGTGATGCAGCACGTCGGAGACTCGACTGCTCTGGGCCCCTCCTTTGTCACTGCCGATGGAATTGTATTTGATAGAAGGGAAAAAATGGAGACAAGGCACAAGTAAACATCAAACATCGATTTTGCAAGTAAATCACCTGCTCTGGCCTCAGTGTGTGACTGCACAGAGGCGAGAGAAGGGAGCAACCTCTCATGCTGGGTGTGATAAGGCAGATGAAAGGGCATTTAGAAATAATTTTCTCTTGTGTAAATAAAAGACTGGCAAATTTTGGGCTAGGGTTGAAATTTTTTAAGTCTACTGCCCCTCCCCCTTCCTTATTTTTTCACCTTAAAAATATCAGAAAGGCTACATCTACACACAGGTTATGGCTCTGAGAGAGCTCTCATGGTCAAGATGAGTACAAGTAACCACTCAGCACCACTAAAACCTCTTTTCTCCCCAAGAATTAATTAGGTATTAGGATTAAACAGATAATATTTTTAAAAATACACCACAATTTTCAATACTGATTAAAAGTTCACACCCTTCCCAGCTGCTGTATCTTTCCAAGGGCTTTAGTGTACACATCCATAGACCTCCAGTCACCCCAATCTTCCAGATTAATGACACCTCCCTTTCCAGAGGAAAAGCTACAGAAAAAAAAAAAAGCAGTTTGCTTTAAGAACCTCTGAGGCCTTTTGTATCTATCCTAAAGAAATTAAAAAGGACACAAGTCAGTTCCTTTCCTCTGCAGATCACCTCTAAGGCTTGTTTAAATCTCCATCTGCTAAACTCGAGCCAAAGCACTGTCAGGAAAAGTCACATTTCAGCACAGGCTGCTCTGCTCTTTTTCTGCAACCAGAAAATGCAGACATGACGTTTTTCCTAAGTGTTCAATATTACAAGACAGAATATAAATATCACAAAACAAGTTAAGTATCTTTCTAACACCAGGGTAAATGATCAAATACACTTGAAAACAGGAACAACAGAGCCAAGGCTTCAGTCATAGAGAAGATAAAGTTATACAATGATCCGGGAGTGAAGTCATTATGAAAAATGAGGGTTGGAAAAGGCTGACACAAACCTAAAATACAGCAGTAATAAATACTTCATCTGACTAGCAATCTGTTTAAACTTAGCAGTGACAGAAAGCTGCCTTCCGCTCCAGCAGGAGAGCCCTGATGGAGACAGAGGCTGACATCTAGTGTCTACTAGACCCAAGCAGTGAGTCGAGAGAAGGTGCCCAACACCAGGACAAGGACAGCGAGCACCACTGCGGTGACACATCACCAGGGCAGGCAGAAGATGCCTGTGAGCAGGCAGAGCTCCTCAGCCACAGGACCACGAAGGAAAAGAAAACTTCCAAGGGTGAAGCACGTACAGAGGCACAGGAGTGAGTAGGGGCAAACTGGAAAGGCTGTGCTGCAAGGACAAACCCCCATTCTCTGACTGTGAGGGGAAATGCAGAGCTCCCCATGCAGCCAAGGGTTTATAAACTGTTCACCAGAGCTGCTGGTGGTCAGACCACCTCTGTGCTCGCTACCCTGACACACTGACAGGCTTCACCCTTCTGAGAAGGATCAGTTGCATGTGTCTGTCTCTGGTGCATTAACAATGACTGTCAGGCTGCATGATGGCCCCTACCGTGTGTGAGCTGGGTGACAGCCTGCACACTTCTCCCCCTTCCACAGTAAGCTGTGTGGCTAGGGAAGGAAGTCCCTAAATTTAAGAGGGACATCAAACAGCAGCACCTGCTTTGCAGAAGGGACTGAACTGTAAAACAGACTGAAGAGCAGGGCTGCTCAACCTCTGGTTAGTGGCAAAGCTCTTACCTGGCAGTAGCTGGTGGTTGGTTCATCATCAGAAGTGGAATTCTTCTCTTCTTCCATGCTGTGCCCTGGACTCTCTGCCTCCCTCCTCTTTGAAGGGTGGAGCCAGGTGATGCTTTCAGACTCCTGCCCCTCTGTATCTCCATCTTCCATACCATCAGCAACCCCATTCTCTCTGCTTATCTCCTCTCCTTTCCCAAGCTCATTTTGGGTCAAGGAAGAACTGGGCACAACTGGGTTACCAAACTCCTTCTTATGCAGTAGCTGCCTCTGAGCCTGCTTCAGGCTCTTCTGGTAAACCTCCAGCTGACACAAGATGACTTTGGTGTACTGGTTAGGGTCCACCCCTTTGGGGCAGAAGGGGATGCCCCAGTAATAGTGCACTGTGTCTCTCGCCTCCTCCTGTTTGTGCCTCTCCTCTGCCGCAGTCAGCATGCAAAGATCCGGGGTACTGTCGGACACCTCGTTCTGCTTTAGTTGCTCTGTGGAAACACAGACCTTGGCAGGGTGCCTGGGCTGTGAGGTGTGTTTGGTACCTGCCTCTCCACTGCTTCTCCTGGGGCTCTCACACTGTTCTGTGGTCCCACTCTTCCAGAGCGTGGCTGAGCTCCTGGCACCTGCCTCTCCCACAGAATGGCCAGTGCAGGGTAGGAGCTGCTCTTTTGGTTCGTGGCCTGTTGCTTCGGAGGAGCTGGAGGGGCTTGTGAACAGTCTGCGAGGTGTCAGTCGCCAGGAGCCTGAAGCCACTCTGCCAAAGGTGGGACTCAATGAGATGAAGTCCTCTCTGAGAGTTCTTGGTAACATGTTACTCGAATCACTTTTTGCTGGTGAGGAAGACTTTTCACTTGACCTTGTCAAAGCCTGGTCCTTCCCCGGAGACACTATTATGCTGGATACTAGTGAGTTTTCAATGATTTCCTGGCTTAACCTCCTCAACACTACCCGGGGGCTCCGGGTGACATCCAACTGTCCACTCCCATCAGCTCTGGAGCTCTGTGAGTGGGAGCTGCACTCAGAGCGAGGGGTGTCAGGGCAAAGTGCCAGACCTCCCAGGATCTCAGAGCCTTCTTTCTCGGCAGGCTGGCTTTGGCCTCGTGCGCCCAGCGCTTCCTCTGACAACTGAGGAGTCACATCAGAGGAGTCTGAGGGCTGACAGCTCTGAAAAACAAAATGTTGGCTCTCCTAGAGGCGTGTTCTCTATCAGCACAGTACACCAAGGTCTCCCACAGCATGCTGGCAGCCATCATCCTGACTGCAGATACCCCAATCAGAACTGTGTACCCCAAAACAGCTGAGGTTGAAGTTTACATGTCCCTCTCACTAGAAACAGTCCAGAGCAACTACTCTGTGACTGCTGTTGTTCCAGTTTGTGCTGGAAATAACTAGCCCTCTCCCCCCGCCGTAAAACCTTCTTTTGTGCAGTGTGGCAAAGCAAGCACAGAAAGCAGTGCTGCTGAAGAACCCTAGTAAGGCTCTTCACAGAAGCACACTTACGCTAAGGCTCTCAGCAATGGCCTTCCTCAAGAGCTCCTCCTCTTCCTCTTCCTGACAGTTCACTTGTCTGGCTTCTTGCTCACTCATTTTCAGGGCCAGTGCAAACTGTTCCTCTTCACTCATCTCTACAGCAGAAGAAATAGGATAATGTCAAGTCACAGCTGCAGGTGTACGTAAACACTCAACATATATCCAACATGTTGAGAGAAACGCGTAAGGGTCCCACCTCCCCAAGAGGAATGCAGAGCAAAACATCTAAACTTCAGCTTTCCTGAAAAGGTGTCATCGAAACTGAGCAGGCAACAATAAATGAGAAAGGTAACCCAGGTCAGGAACTTCAGTTCAGGTTTCTACAGCAATCTAAGCTCTCATTCCCTGGGTATATTATCTGCAACTTGATATTTTATTTGGCATCAAACAACACACTCTGCAGGTGCCGAATTCATGTTCAAGGAGAGAGAAAAAGGACAGATTTCCAAAGTGTGCTCATTTTTATATCAGACAGATCAGCAGCAAGGCAGGATAAACAACACATCTTCTTTAAGACATTTTTTTACTAACCAGTGGCACAACTCAGTGCCTTCTGACACACAGATACCTGCAATACCACAGGAGACCTACCTGAGAGAAAAAGAGCTACATGTTGTTCACCCTGAGCTGCAGGTGGAAAGCTCTGTGGAGGATAATGTTACTTGCTTGGTGGTATTATAGAGGATCTTTCACATGCATACATCCCCCTTCTGCTCACATCACCACTCCACTGCATCACTAAGTCAGTCATGCATGGGAAACAGGTTTCCTACAGTTGTAACTGCTATTTCAGCAGAAAATTTCTTCCTGAAATACTCCTCGCTCAAATCAAACCAAAAGCCTGGACTGGCTATTTAGAAACAAAGCAGTTAGTTACTCTGGAAAACACTTATTTACTTAGATTCAATCCAACACTTCCACTATGCTTAAAATATACAACGCCTGCAGAATGGAGTGCAGCTTGAAAAACAACTCAACAGCACTCTCAGGAGCTGAAAAATACATCTTCTCACTTGAAACAAATTGACAGATTTCCTTCAGAACCCGCTCCCTCCTCCAGGCAGAATCCTGCACGCGCCATCTCATGCATGAACCAAAGGCTCGCGCTCTCCGACGGGCTACAACATCTTTAAGACATGTCATTGAACAGGGAGGCCGCCCAAGCACAAAACATGCCTTCACTGCAGCCAGCTCCGGAGACAGACCTTTCCCTGGATAAAGCATTCAGAACTTGCAGGCTCCCATTTTTTATCCCATCCTCTTCCTACCAGCTGCCACCCAAACACAGCAGCACAGCCACCCTGGAAGCAGCTGGGGACTGCTCTGGCCGTAGCACAGTCCGTGCATGACAGCACAGCTGCAACAAGGAGCAGCCACGGAGCAGCCGGCTCTGCTCTGCCCTTCCCCCAGCTCCTCGCTGATGGCAGCCCCGTGCTCCCCCACCCAAGCAGGATCTGAAGCATTTTTGGACTGCTCTGATTACTCTCAGATTCTTTTATGTGTCCTACTAAATCAGCACTTAGCTTCAGGTTGTTGGTTTGGGGGGGGAGGGGGGTAATTCCTTTTAAAATTAAGAAAGAGGTTGAAGGGAAGGCAGACTGCAGTGCTCTCAGGGCTCGTGGGGATCTTTTGTCCTTGGACAAAGTCGTTCTATGATGTTACAGCCAAGAGGGACCAGGGCAACAAAAAAGCATCCTTTAATGGAAAGCAGATGACAGTCCAGTGTATGGAGAAGGATCCCATCCCCAAGAACAGCAGCAATACACAGCATTGCACAGAATCACAGAATCAATTAGGTTGGAAAAGACCTCAGAGATTACAATCTTTGACTGATCACCACCTTGTCAACTAGACCATGGCACTAAGGGCCACGTCCAGTCTTTTCTGTTTTCACAATACTAAACACCTTCCAAGCATTTGGAAAGTCTGTGCTGATTTGTTTCCCTGCCCAATCCATCACAGCCATCAGGCCAGATCCTGATCCCGATTACAAACTCCAACATGGGCACAAAAACCAGTGCACGTGATTGGCGTCCCACAACACACGACTTTCCACGTGCTTCAACGGGGGCCTGAGTGTTCGCCAGTTCAGGCTATCAACATCCATGAAGCTTAATAAAAAGAAACATTTTTTGGCGAGCTACTGCTGTACATTTTGTTTTCTTCTCCTTCCCTGGCACAGCAATTTCCCCTCTGGGGACAAGGAATGTGCCAGACAAATGCTGCCTCTGGCAAAGAAACCAGTGACAAACAAGATGCACTTAGTGCACGTTCCAGTTGAGTAGGTGCTCCAGAGACAGGGAAATCTCGAGTTTAAACCCACCTGGCATTACGGTGGGAGAGCAAAGAGCAGCTCTGCCCATGTCTTCCAGTAGACCTGACCTGCTTTAAGTGGAGCCGACAGTATTTCGTGCTCCAGGACTGATGACTCCTCAGCACCGTGTGTTTTATTAAACTTGATGCTGATTGCAGCGGTCATAATTGATGATGATTAGAAATGCAGAGCGCCGCGTTAGCCCCCGACCGGCGTGTGCAAACAGACCCGGGGAGCTCAGAGCGTGTGGCGGAGACGAGCCACGCTCCTGGAGCATGCCAGAGGGACAGGAGCTCCCACAGCCCCCGGGAAGAACAATCCCTCTCTCCATCTGGACCACCCTGCTCAGCTCACACTCATCGCTCCTCTCACAGGAGCCCATTCTCGTGAGGAAACACCAGCACTTCCAGCTGGGAACTCCGCGTCTCACACTCCAAAATCCACTCGTCACACGTCCATCCCAACGCAGCATGAAATCCCAGAGCCTCTCTGGAGACCAGGGCTTCCAAGACACCCACAGATGGGAAGGAGGGGTCAGAGAGAAACTGTTTTTAAGATACTGCAGCCCTAAACAAATTAAACCATTTCAGAGCCTTTTTAAATGCTAATACGGCAATTTGTGAAGCGATTTATGTTCCATTTTGACATTTGCAAAGTGAATTAGATGCAAAACCCCACTAGTTGTAGTTCTAACACTTACTAATAAGAGATTTACTCAAATATAACAGAAATGGGGGATCTCAGTATTTCCACATATCCAAAGAGCAATTACAGTAAAAACATTCAAATGTGCTTTAAAGCACAGACTTCCTCCAGAAAAAGAGAGAGACTTCGTTAGGTTTTGTACTTCCATTTATCCTGTCAGGATGAAACGTCACAGATATATTTTAGTTATGGCTTTAGGTTAAAATGAATAAAACCACAACAAAGCAAAAATGGGAGGATATGCTTTAGAACTAGAGCCTGCCAATATCCGAAATTTTCCAGTTTTGAGGAGAAAGAACTTGCTCTACCCAGAAGCACCGAATCTTTACAAAAGACCAATTTGCCTCGCAATTCAAAGAATTTATTTAAAGACACTGAGAAAAATAATTACTACTTCAAATCTTAATTTGCCTAAAAGCAAACACCAAAAGTCTAATTATAGCTTCCCAGAAATGAGAACAGCCCCACGATCACACGTGCTTAAACAAGTGCCCGCTCTCCGACCGAGTGGCGCCGGCACCCCCAAACTCAGACGTGCACACTAAGCAACAGAAAATTGCAGCTTTAGCCCCAGGAAAAGAAAAACTATTATCAATAATTTCAGCATCTAGAAACACAGCAGAACTCCTCCGTTACACAATGGCTGGAGAGCTGGCTCTGTCTCCCGTGGATTTTCTGGAGCACACCAAACACCTTTTGCACAGCACCAGCTCCCAAAACCCAGCACACTCAGTGATGCAATGAGGATATCCAACTTCAGCAGATCCCTGTTCTTAACACCATATGTTTGGTCACATTTTACTGGCTTCTCCAAGGGGGGTTTTAGCTTTTATTTGGTGCCCCGTTTCCTTTGGGAGAAAAAGAAGAAAAAGAAAAAGAACTCTTCCCACATTTCTGACTTTTGTTATCTTACTTGTTCAACATAGATACGCACAGTGGGCTTCAGCTCCCACAAAGAGCTGGGCTGTTCTGTGCTATGGCCTTAGGCCTCTATTAAAAACAATTTAATTCACACAAGCCCTGTGAGGACTGACAAGCCCAACTGCTGCTGCTTACAGAGCACTGGTGTGCTCCATTTTGTTCAGTGATTGTTTTGGGTTTTGTAGGAGACAGCACCTCTCCCATTTTAAAACATCCTGAATTTCACACGCTGGATGGACCGACTACTGCCTTGCAGAGCATAGGAACACAAGCAGGGACCTGGGGCCTGGCTGCTGTAACAAGCGGGGCTGTACCAGGAACACAGTCAACATGGCCATGCTCAGTGGTCCCTTCTGCCTGTACATCCCTAGCATTCAGAATATAAACAGGAACATCCCAGTCTGTTCACTTTAGCATTTATTCTTAGACCCATTGTCCATGAATGCATTTAATCTCTTATTAAAGCTGCTGATACTGACCCCTTCACAACCTCCTGTGACACAAACTTCCAGGAGTTCACTCCATGCTGTGTGAAGCATTACTGTCCTTCATCTGTTTCAAACACATCTATCTCCTGCTATTTCCACCAGTGCACCCTGGCTAATAGGAGCTTGTAAACAATGGCTCTGTGCTCAGCTGAGGCACTGCCTTCCTGATAGGAACTTTGATCCCACCTTCCTCTCCTAACAAAGCAGCCCCAGGCTCTCCAGTCTCTCCCCATAAGGCAGCTGCTCCGTGCCCTTCATGGCTTGGGCTGCCCTTCTCTGGATGTACCACCACAGCCTTGCAATGCAGAGACCAGAACTGCACACATGGCTGTGACAGGGGTGCACCAATACTCCATATAACTGCAAAATGACATCACTCAAATCTCTGGTTCTTAACACCCTTCCTTATGATGTCCAGTGTTGCCAGTGCTCCAGCTGCCCCTGTGCCATGAGCCAACAATTTCAGAGAACTGTCAGCTGCGACTCAGATCTTCCCTGAGTGGCAGCTGCCAGGTCAGAGCATCCTGATGCTTCAGGGACAGGCAGCAGCAGAGGGGCCTGAACGGAAAAGCAGTTTGTGACTGACAGCACTTTCAGATTGGCTTCAGTTTTGAAACCTGGTGAGGTACCAACACCCTCCCACACTTATTTTGGAAGTGCACCAGTCCACGCACACGCTGCCCAGGGAAAAAACAAGTGACAGTGTGCCTATTCAGACAGGCAAAATTTACCCCTGAGAAGGGTCTTCTTTGAAAGCTCTGCATCCCCAGCCACATCACAGCCTTTCTGTAAGGGAAATAATCTCTAACACAAACAGCTGCTCAGCACCAGACAACTTCCCCAGCCCCACAATCGAGACCTACGTGCAATTTTTCTTTTAGCAGCAAACTTGGTTTGATCCAGCTGCTGTTTTGTTCTCTTCTTTTGCAATCCACTCTCTTCCTTTGACTCCTGCTGTAATGGAAAAAAAACATGGTGAGTGCATGCAATATGTAAGAAATACTACCAGCCCCCTCCCCCCCCAGCTACTCAGACACAAACACTGGTTCAAGAACAAGCCTCTATTTGTGTGAAATTTGAATTTCAAACATAATTCAAACACATTCTGTAACTATTAAAAGCTGTGTGATAAGCATAATGAGCAAAAAGAGTTACAGACTGACATAAACAGAGAAGTAGGAGAGACAATAGACTTCATGCCAGTCACCACCATGCACTGCACCTGCTACCCACGATTTCAGAGAGAATTTGTTTGGCCTTGCTAAAACATTGATATTTGTAAGCACTCAAAACAGAACCTTTTTACAAGTGAGCATCACACACCTGTAAGCCAGGACTGTTTCCTGCCATGCAGCTTCTAGTAACTCTGCCCAAACAATTTCAGGTGATCAAAACTAGGATCCCTACCTATTTTTGGAGACCCATGTGAACACAACCCCAGGGCAGGAGAGCCATATGTATTTCCTCCTCGTGCCAATCTCTCATTGTATTCATAAAATCACAGAACGGTTTGGGTTGAAAGGGACCTTAAATATCATCTCGTTCCAACTCCCTGCCATGGGCAGGGACACCTTCCACTAGACCAGGCTGCTGAGAGCCCCATCCAACCTGGCATTGAACACTTCCAGGGATGGGGCAGCCACAGCTTCTCTGGGCAGTATTGCCACAAGTGTTTCATTTTTGAAGCTTGAATACTTCGGGAATTTGTTGTCTTGGGCCTCTCTGGAACAATACCCCTACAAACAACCTACATGTGTGCTGCTTTAAGCACAGGGACTGCACCAGGACTGGGCACAGACATAAATGACACACATTTATGCAAGTTGTTGTCCTAGCAGCTTAAGCAAGGCCACACACATTACTGAAGGCTAGCACTGGGCCCCTTCCAATTTGTCTCTCTAAATCAGGCAGGATTAGAATCAAACCCAGTATTTCAGGCAGAGACTCATGCCTGGCCAGGAGGGGTTTTGCACCACTCCCTCTGCAGCTGCAGCGAGTTTTGCTCTCTGTGAGACACACACTGGCCACACACTTGTGCCTCATTCCACCTCCTGTGACAGGAGAGGGGTTCAAGACAGGGGCATGTGGCTTGGGCTACTTTAATACAAACAGATACATTGATTTTTTTTCAAGTGTCATCAATTTCTTTTGTCCTTCGTCTATGTTTCTGAGCCTGTGAAGTCCTTTGGACTGCACCTCTGTGCTGAGTTTTGTTCCAGACATCTCCAGCTTTAGCGTTATCTCTAGATTTTATTAATCTATATACACCACTTGCTCCCTCTTACAGATCATTAATGAGGATGTTAAAACACACACAGACCTAATATCGATCCTCTTGGCCTCAGCCTTACATCTCCCCCAGATGAGCCTCCCTTCTCTTCATCACCAGCTCTTGCTGACAGTCTTTTAGCAGGATTTCAATGCAGGAATGGTACTATCTAGACCAAATTGAATTATTTACCCAACTAAGATTTTTGCAAGACATACTATTAAGTGGTTTCCTGAAACCCTAATACATTACAGCTTCTACATGCCCTCATACCTACACCATTCCTCACTTCACTGACTTAAGAAGCACCTCACAACACAGCAGCAATCATACCTGGCAAGTCCACACACACTCATGCTTGTACCTAAGGGGTTTTTCCTATGACCGATTCCTTCTCTTCCCTACTCAGCCTGGTTTGGGTGCCCCCTTTCTAAGATCTGCCACTGTGTCTTCGAAAAACTGCTTCACATCCAGAGTTTCTCTTGCAAGGAGATGGATGCCAAGCTCACATTTAGGAGGTGAAATCCCCTCTTCCTGGGCCCTGGTATATTGCCCTTCTCCACAGTTTTCCATAAGTCAAGGGATGTCCTACTCCAAAGTGCCCGCTTTGGTCTGCAGCAATAGCCTCCCACCTACCTCACGAGCAGACCACACCTGAGAAGTGGGAAACAGTCTGTGGGATTGCACCAGGATCACATTAGGATTATATGCTGGAGGAGATTAAGCAACAGCTCTCCCACTCTCCCCCAAAGCCCTGTCTAACAGTGCTAAATGCACCCCAGCTTAAGACAGGGGCAATTTAATCCTAGCAGGCTCTGTAAATCCCCAGCTCTTCTCTCTAGGCATCAGTCTTCCCCTCATCACTCTTGCACTTGCTGGAAGGTCAACCCTGACACTCTCATCTGCACCTCTCTTCCAGGGCACGGATGTGATTTATGAGCGCACCAAACTTTCCACGGCTGCAAGTGCCTGCACTGTGCACTGAGACAAACACTTACAACACACACCATGGGACAAGATGGGGCCCAAACACCTCCAGGGCTCTGGAGTGGAATGGTGCACCCGGCACTGGGCGCGCTGCCCGGATCCACCGCACAGCCAAGGACGTGCCTCGGTTCTCTGTGCTGGTCCTGAAGAATCTCGACATTTACAACAGTGGCAGGAGCAAAATTATTGCAGAACACGTGTTGTACGAACCTCATACGTTTGAGAAAGATGTTTAAATTGCTCAGCAGTGTTCTACTGAACAGCCACGGTGCAGAGAACCGCTGAAGCAAATCCAATTAATCCTGATGGGCCAAAATATATACACACATCTCAATTCCAAGAATTCTTAAATCTTCTTTATTTTTAAACCCAGAAAATAAAACATACCTTTTAATTAGGATTTATGGCTGTTTGTACCTCTGCTGGGAGAGAGCCCCGCAGGCCCCAGAGTGCTCTGCATAAATGCAGGCATGGATGGTAGAAACCAAAGGGGCCAAAAAAATTCAGAGAAGACAACAGGGCTTGCTCTTCCTGACCCAACCTTTTAATGCTCATCTATCTACAAGGATAATAGGAACTCAGGGGGCCACTCAACCAACTGCCTTTCTAATAAGATCACTAGTCCAAAAATAATCTTAATCAATTAAAATATTCCCAAACTGCAGCCAATACTCTTAGTTACAAGGTCATCTCCAACACACAACTTCCAAGGGAAACTAATTATTATAGCAGAGGTGAGGTAGGAACTGCACACCTCTGTTCAGTGCCAGCCTGGAGAGAATCTCTCCTTTGCTGTCCATTCAAGGCACAACAGCCAGAAGGAGCCCAAATTCTTTTCCTGTGTGTCAGGCTCTGCATTTTAATTTATGATGCTCTCTTATGAGCAATTTCACTGCCAGCATTGTACACAGATCAAGAAATAGACAGGTTTTCAAAGTTCCCTACACATTTAGTGGAAGGCAGCCACTATTCTTCTTCCTTATTTTTTAACCTGCTTCGTTTCACCAGATAGCAGGAAATCAAACTCCCATTTTAAAAATGCTTTTGCACATACTTAAGAGAACCTGACTCTGCCAGCAGAAACAGATACATCTCCACTCCCTCCTAAAAGCCCATAAATGGAAGCCAGTAGCCAGCATCCCACATCCTGCTCCCTCAAATCCACATCATAAACCACAGAAATCAGCTTCTACTGACTCAGGGAAGGAAAGGCTAGAGCAGAATGTCTCCAACACTAATGGTGCAGACTGCAAAGTTGAAAGGTCTGGGTAATTTTACTGCTCAACAGCAGTTGGGACCATCTAACAACAGTGCACAGCCAAACACCACACGTCCTGCATGGGAAATACGCAGATGAAAACCAGACTAATTTATTTTTAAAAACCAATTAAGATGTTGGAAGTCCAATGTTTGGCTCTAGCCAAGGCTGCTGCTGAAATTAATATCACACCCTACTTTATTAGTCTCTGACTTCAGAATCTGTTTCAGCTTTGCTGTCTTTCAGCTCATTAGAACAAACCTGTTGGAATTGGAGACTTGAACAACAAGACACAACGGGGCTCATGCCAGACATGCAGTTCCTGACACACAGAGGGAAGGGTTTTCATCGGGCTGTGAGGAGTCTGGATTCAGATCCATCTGATTTTCGAGGAGTGATCGCAGCAGAGCCATGGAGCCTTCCCGAGAGCCAACTCACACCACATTGTCCTCTGGGAACTGGAGGCACCAGGTCCCTTGGCACCAGCAGAGCCCGTGGGGACAGCAGGGCACTGCAGAGATACTCCCACGAGGCTCTGCTTCACTCGGATGGTCAGTGGTGCGAGCTGGTATCCTGGTTTCAGCTGGGATTGAGTTAATTTTATTCCTAGTAGCTGGTGCAGTGCTGTGTTTTGAATTTAGTATGGAAATAATGCTGATAACACACTGATGGTTCTTTGGTGCCAAGCAGTGCTTACTATAAATCAAGGACTCCTCAGTTTCCTGTGCTCTGACAGTGACCAGGTGTGCAAGAAGCTGGGAGGAACTGGCCAGAGGGATATTCCATACCATAGAACATCATGCTCAGTATATAAACGGGGGGAAATTGGCTGGGAGCCACTGATGGCTGCTCAGGGACAGGCTGGGCATCAGTCAGTGAGTGGTGAGCAATAGTACTGTGCATCATTTGTTTCTCTTGGGTTTTACTCACAGAATCACAGAATGGTTTGGAAAGGACCTTAAAGATCACCTCTTTTCAACCCCCTTGCCATAGGCAGGAACACCTCCCACTAGACCAGGTTGCTCATTGCCTGGCTTTGAACACTGCCAGGGATGGGGCATCCACAACCTCTCTGAGCATCCTGTTCCAGTGCCTCATCACCCTCACAGTAAAGAATTTCTTCCACATATCTAACCTAAATTTCTTTTCTTTTAGTTTGACCCCATTCCTCCTTGTCCTATCACTACATTTTCTCATAAAAAGCAGTTCCTCTCTCCCTCCTTTTCATTACAATTATTATTGATATTATCATTAGGATAATTAGTAGTATTACGGTATTTTATCTTGTTTCTATTACTAAGCTGTTCTTATCTCAACCCATGAGGTTTACTTTTTTTCAAATTCTCCTCCCCACCACAGTGAGGGGGGGTGTGGAGTGAGCAAGCAGTCATGTGGTACTTAGTTGCCAGCTGGGATTCAAGCACAACAGCTGGGCACTGTCATCCCATCTTTTCCATAGTAAGATGTCCCTCAGGCCATGCCTGGTCCTGAGGTGAGTGGCTGCTGTCACAGCTGATGAAGACAGGACAGGGCAGTGGCCAGGTATTTCAGATGATGTCCAAACACACCTCCCTCTGCACCACAGCCAAAATCTAAACTGGAACATTGACACACGGTGCTGATTTCCCTGACTGCAAGTATCTCCAAACACAGGAACACTTGGGCAAAGGGATGTTCCACACCAAAGGGAAGACAAGCCATGCAGAAATAGATGGCACCATCACCCTGGAGTCTCATCATATGTTCCCCGAGGGCTGGCAGAGCTGACGGATCTGGCAGAAAGAGCTTGTGAGACTTCATGCCAACTCTGAGTGCAGGCAGGTACTCTCCAAGCTCACAAAGGATCTACCCAGGAAAAACAGACCCTTCCAAAAGTTCCCACAGCAGATCAGTGGCATTTTGGGATTAAAAGCTGCAAATCAGTCTACGGGTCAGCACAACCTTTGGGCTGTGCTCAGTGCTCACGTTCGGCCAGGCCTGATGCCAGGGAACAATCATGTTTCAGACATGGCTTCGGAAAATCTTGGGGGTCAGTCTTTACCAACAGCCCAATTCAAGCAAGGGGCTCATGAGACAGACCAGGAATTGCTATTCTTGGAAAGAGCACTGTTGGGGACTATTTGAAATACTGTGTGTTTGTAGATGACCACCCAGCTTCTGGTGTGGGCAACCAATTCCCTTCAGGGTTTAAACAGCCGGGGGAGACAGGAACCACTCTGCTCATTCGTCATGTCTGCGTTTTCTGAGACACAGTTTGCACAAAGAAGGTCATCTCCTCTTCCTTCCACAGAGCCAGAGAGACTGTTCTTATTTTGTCCAACCCTTTCCAAAAAAAGAGAAGTGTTCCCCGAATCCAGGATTATATATAGCAGAGATCAGAAAGCCTCACGTCCAGAAAACTTCTTTCTGATGCAGCTCTGCAGATGCCACAGCATAGACATGAGCAAAGAAAGAGAACTTGGCAAAATAACATGGATGAGCTTGATAATCCAGCATGACTGAAAAATTCCTGGGAGAGGCAGTCTGCCAAAGATCATCAAAAGTGAGAAGCTGGAGGCTTTCCAGGTGCAGCTGCTACAAGATCTGCTGGTCTGGAAGCAGAACTAGGGACTTGTTCTATAGATACCTGCCAAGAGACTGCCAAGGAAGAAAGCCATCGAATCAATGATGCCCAAATTGTCCTTGTAGCTTTTGATTCATAAGGAACCATGTCCTAACAGATGCAAGATTAATTGAGAATGTATTGTTCTCTAAAATTGCTATTGATCTGAGCTTCCCACACCTCTTCTTGAACACACAACAAGGTCTTACCAGAGCAAGAACAACAGTTAGAAGGTTCAAAATTGAAATTCAGCTTGATGTACACAGAAGAGCTGAGACAGTTACAGAAGGCAGACAGTTATTTTTTTGAGATCCCAAGTAAATCACAGTTTTGCGTTTGATTTTGCAGAAAACAACACGACAAGAGACTGTGGCACTGGATCTGTAAGCTGATGACTCACAGAAAGAGACTGAACTGAATAAATCCACTCATTCAACTGACTGAACTGTTGTCACTTAAACAGAACCTAATTGGCTCTTTAACGGCCTCTCTGAGCATATCCTTTTCTGTAATATGACCGATTATGCCATCAGAATTTATTGTTTATAGACAAACTTACAGAACAGTGAGAGAGCCTAACCTTTTTATAGATGTGTTTTAAGAGACGTTTGTTTCCTCTTTTTCAGATACGTGCACATTGAGATGAATAATTGCAGACAATAACAGGTCCTGATCTTTTATGTACTGCAGCAGCTCTTATAGCTGCTGATTTCTTTTTTCCTTATAGGTTTCACCATAAAGGCCAGTGATGCAGTAGACATCTGAAGTTAACTTAGCATATTGCAGAGCTAAGGGTTTAACCCCACTGAACTATTACTGCCATATGTTCCATTTCTTTCAGGGAATTTCCCAATGGGAAAGAACTCAGACAATGTGAAGAAAAAACATCCAATATCGTTTGCCCTACAGCTTCTTACTGTTTATTTCTAGTGCTTTTCCCCTCCTCACATGATAATCGCCTTATTGGAGAGCAGCACACTGCAGATGTGGGAGCAAAAGGGACTTGATTTAAGATCTACAGCTAGAGAGTGAACTGAAACGCTTTTGAAAATGGTGGAATTACAAAAAGCAGCTTAGGGTCCCCAATCACCAGGAAGACAGAGCAAAGCCTTAAGAGTCACACATAAAACGCTGATTCTAATAATTTCCCCTCGTGCGGCTCGCTCGGTTGAGCACAGGTTCTCGGGGCTCTGGGTTTCTCCCAGGCAGGAGTTCCTGAGCTCATCCCAACGCCCGTGTAACCAACACAGACATTTCAATCTTTAGAGTAATGCTGATGTGTGTAAGCCAACGCTGGGGATCAGAGATCTGAGCCTTGACACCTCAGCCAGGCACTCCCACACCACATTCACCTTTACACCCTACGGAGGTGGGTTACAAACTTGGATTCCTGTAATTCAGGATCAGTTTACTAGACACTGGCTGTCTCTGAGCTACTCACGAGCCTGTGTTCTGAATCATTTTCTTATCTATTTGCACATAATACAGAATCATGTTTCTAAGGTTTAGCTGGAAATCAATCAAATAAAAATTATGAAAAAAAGATTTGTAAAGGGATTGAGGAAAGGTTACTTTTAAATTACGTTTCAGATTTGGTTCTGAGAGGATTTGGTTATCAAATCCCAGACTCATAACTCACCCTCACGAAGCACACCATTCATTTCCTAGTCAAATAGGATTTGATTCATCTCATATGTAAGAAAAGGAACGGCACGAGATCCTTTGCACAAAGCCCAACCCAGGCACAACACCGAAGGCTGCTCGGGCACTGTCCTGCAGCAGCAGGGCCCAGCACAGGCTCTGGGCACCCCAAACCCATCACTGACCTCTCCATCACTGTCAGATATAACAATAAATGCATCCACAAAACTGCGCTTCTTCTTGGCATTCCTCTTCTCATCCTCATCTTCCTCCCCATCCTGACCTCTAGACTCCAGGCCCTGCGTGGGCTTCTTCCTCCTCGGCATCCTTCACTCTGAAACAGATGAAAAGATTAAAAGCCATTTGTTTCCTTCTGATTTAGATTTCCCCTACCAGTCATCCTTTTTTTTTTTTTTTTGCTATTTTTAGGCAAAAGACCCCAGGCACTGAAACCTTATTACAAAGCGTGGTGGATTTAGCGTTACTGGGAGCCACATGTACCAGTCACCACTCATCTAGTTAAGAACACTTTATTACAGCTGATTGCTAAAAAGGGGTTTCAGGGGAGCAGCAACACAGACTAAAGCCACTCTGAATGCCTTGTTCCAAAGCAATGAGGCTTTCCTCTCAAAGCCCATCAGCAAACTCCTCCACAGCATCACTTTACAGTGGATCTCCCACCCTCCAATACAACTTCCCCTCCTCAGCCCCACACCTTCACCAGAACAAAGCAGGTTGTGGCAGCAGATCAGGCTGACAGTTGCACACCAGACCAAGAAGCCCCCACAGCACAGCCCTTTGTCAGCGTTTGTATTCAACAAAACCAGGGGGAAAGGCATTGTTCCTTCAAGGATGCTGTCCTGCCCTCAGCACCACTTGGTGCACAGCTGCTCCAGCACTACAGACAGGGAAAACACAGGCACTGGCAGCAGGCAGGCTGGAAACAAGACAACAGGTTTATCTGGCAGCCTGGGTTTCTCAATGACCGGCAGCCTCCGGAAGAACTCCGGGCAGACATGCCCAAACCATCCGCATTAACAAAGGCACTTAACAAGCAGCAAGGAACCTGCTGAGCGTTATTAGTGCAAACCTGAGTGCTCTGTGCACGCAGGTGCCCACACAGGGCAAGCTGGTACTTCAGCATCCCTTCCCTTGCCAGCCCATAGACTGCTGGAGAGGGATGCACAGCAAGCATCAGCTGCTTGGATCCAAAAGGGCTCCGAGGAGAGGACTGGGAAGAGATCTCAGTGAAGGAGAGCAGCAGGAAGGCACACAGAGTTAAACCACCCTTTCCTGCCTGTGCTTGCTGTTTGCCAGATAACTCAACAACAACATTTGGTGCTTCCTGAACTGTGATGTAAAAGAGCCTTACAAAGCAGGCTGAGCATGACCAGCTCTGTTGAAGTTAAACATGTGCAGAGAGTGGTTAAACAACAAGCCCCTCATTTCACACCAGAGAACAGCAGAGCTGGAAATGCAAGTCAAGTTGGCTGGTTCCCAGACCAGTGTCCTTCCACAGCATCACTCTGCTTTCCTTCAAGATCACTCAAATAGCTCAAGTGTGCTGCTTAGATCTAAAATAAGAGGAAGAGAAGATGCAACAGAGACTGTACATCACCCAGGATAGAGCCAAACCCTTCCCTGTAACACCACAAAATTGCAAACAGACGCTGTGTATAGAAACAGTAACGAGCAGGGAGTCCAAAATCCCCATCAGTGCCGAGAACTGCAGTGCACTGCTCCATCTACAGTCCAAGCAGCAAGGTGAGGAATAACATCGCTCCAGCCCTACTATCCACAGCCTTCACAGACTCCCTTCGCCTCCCTCCCTCTGCAAAGACATGCACACACACGCAAAGACAAAAGACGATTATCCTGATGAGTCATGATTTGAACCGAAGGTTTTCTGAGCCCTCTGAAGGCAGAATACTGTACAAATGGCAAAGTGACTGAAGGACCACTGCAGTACCTCCGTGTTTGTCTGCTTAGGAACCACAGAATGGTTCGGATTGGAAGGGACCTTAAAGATCATCCAGTTTCAACCCCCTGCCATGGGCAGGGACACCTTCCACTAGACCAGGTTGCTCAGAGCTCTATCCAACCTGGCCTTGAACACTTCCAGGGATGAGGCAGCCACAGCTTCTCTGAGTAACCTGTGCCAGTGCCTCACCACTGTCACAGGGAAGAATTTTTTTCTAATATCCAATCTAACCCTGCTCTTTGTCAGTTTGAAGCCATTATAGAAAGAGAAATAGAAATAAGCACTGCTTTTGGAAAAGCTCTGGCTCCTGCAAAACAACGCTGTTCAGCTCCAGCTGAGCTGAACTCAGGTAATGTTCGAATATCCTCATTGTAGCTTCTCCATTTTTTTATCTTTTGCTCCAAATGGTTTCTTTGCCCTCCCTGTCCAGGGAGATGAGCCAAGCCTCACACCCAGCTGCTGTACCCGTGGTGGTGGGGAACATTCCCTTATTGTTGGAAAACCACTCACATGTGCTACAAGGAGCACAGAAAGGCCCACAGAGGGTCACTGGTCTTGGAAAGGCAGCCCATAAACCTCCTTACCCTCACAACAAAAGAAACAGCAACAAGGAACTGCTATGTTGCCTTTTATTTTTTTTAAATCCACACTGGTATCACCATCTCTCCTCTGACTCTGTGATACATCTTCTGCTTGGTGCTCTGTGCTAAATAAGAGATCACTAAGAAATATCAACTGAAGTTATGATGAGTCACCTACCTTCAACATTTAAAGGAGAGAAAAGAGGAGATGTAAGAGATGTAACCACACAACTCCCACAGCGCTTCTGAAAATGAAGGGACTTGTGGCAAAGAGAGTCTCTGGAAATGTAACTAAGGGAACAAGACAAGTAAGAGATCAGTCGTAGCTGTGCTAGTCTGAGGCTGTGAGTAGGAGAGCAGCAATAGCTTTTATTAGACAAGCTGGTATAGCTGAGAGAAGAAAACATGCATCAGAGCACAGCCCTCCTCTTCAGGCAGGGAAGTCAACCATCTATTGCTTTTAGCACCCTTGGAAAGGACAGTTGTCAGTACCTGAGGGGATCATACCTGTTTTCAGACCCAGCAAAAAATAGGCCAAAGACTGAATTATCTAAAACTACCTTTGCAATTTGGTTCACAGACTGATTTTGCAGTTATCCAGATTTTTTTTCCAACTCTGAATTTAAGAGAATTTCTTTGTAAACGCTCTGACAGCAAAGGTGACCTCCTGACAAGGGACTCGCACATGCCACGCTTCTCCAGTCACATTTTTAGGGATATCCTTGAAGATCCCCAACTTGTGATTATTTGTCATTTTCCCTCTCATCTATCATTTTGATGAATCAGAAAGCAATTACCGACAGAATAATTCTAAATCTTGACACTGCAGCTACAGACCTGCCAAGCTGTGACAGCTTGAAAAATGCTCGAAAAACGGAGCCAAAAAAAATGAATGACTCTCATCCCCGGATGAGTTCCTGAGCCGTTGGAGACACAGGCTGTCGCTTTGTAAACAACTCCCCCCCGCCTTGGGAAGCAGAGCCATGACGCTTCCCGTGCTCAGGCGGGTCAGCACCACACGCCTCCATGGAAATATCATCCCTGGACCCTCGGCTCGACCCGGCACGCAGGGCCCAGCTGATGCTCCGCGAGCAGGACACGAGGGCTGGCAGCGCCTCGGGGAGAGAGAAATTGTTTACGGGATTGATCCGTTTATAGAGCTAGCTCTTCGCAGAGAGGGCACGGGCACGGCAGAGGCCACGCACGGCCGAGTGCATCCGAGCTCTCGGGAGCTGCTCCGTGCTCCAGTGCCCTCGAGTCCCACGCGCAGCACCTCCCTTCTCCAAGGACAGCTGAGAAAAACGGTTCCCCCCCCTCTATGTGGGAGGAAAGTGACCCCATCCCCAGACCACGCCCAGGGTCCCTCTGTCCCCTTCCCGGCCCGCTGCCTTCGGGCAGGGAGGGCTCTGCAGGGAAAGGATGGGGTCAGGGATACTCAACAAGCTGCGGAGAAGGATGGGGGTCCCAGGCGGGATGGGGGTGAGCTCGGGGGAAGGTGATCAGCCACAGGTGAGCAAACAAGAGGGAGGGGAGAGTGCAGGGGCTGCCCCGGGAGAAGGGAGCCAGGCCTGTCAGGGGGAACAGGAGGGGCGGGAGCACCCTGGCCTTAGGGGATAGGCCAGGGCAAAGCTCTGGTTTTGGGGTTCCTTTCCAAGGGGACAGGCCAGGAGGAGTTCCAGGGTATCTCTAGGCACTGCACCTCCAGGGAAGGAACACGGGAACTGCCCTTGGGGGTGGGACGGAGGGTGTCCCTTCCCCAGGGGGCAGCGCTGGGGGCCGGTCCCGGGCCACCCAGAGCGGGGGCCGGTGGTCACGCAAGGGGGGGGGCGGAGGTGGGGGAAGGGGGTCAGCCCCGGGGGCCACGGGCCGGGGAACGGCCCCGGGCGGAGGAAGGGGGATCCCTCACAGCCCCGGGAGCCCCGCGGCGAGTCGGCCCCGGGCGAGCCGCGGGGCAGCAGCAGGCCCCGCAGGGCACAAGGTACTCACCGGGCCTGGGCCGCCCCGTTGCCCGCGGCCTCCCCGCCAGGTCCACCCGCACCGGCCCCGGTCGGCGGGTCCCGCACCCGCGCTCAAGTTGGCGGCGGAGGCCTCATTGCCCTCACCCAAGATGGCGGCGGCGGCTTCGCTGCTCCTCACGTGGCCGTCGGGGCGCTGAAGCGGGCGGCGCCATGTCCATGGCGGGCGGGGCCCGGGCGCCTCGCCCTGAGCCACAGGCAGTCTCGCCGTTTTCTCAGCCTGGGGCGCCGCTTCCTCCAGAGGAGGATGGGCTGCGTCGCTTAAACACTCACAAAGACCGGCCGCCACCATGTCGCGCTCTATACTTATGCCCACAACCAACATGTCCGCCGCCGCCTCCCCTGGCGGGCGCGGCGCTCTCGCGGGAGGCCGCCCCGCCGTTGCTAGGCGCGGAGGGGGCGCGCGGGCGGGCTCTCGCGAGAACAGCGTGAGGCGGCGGTGGTGGCCATGGCGGACGGGGCCGGTAGCAACGGGGACGCTGCGGGGCCGCCGGTGGGCAAAGAGGCGGGTGAGGCGGCGGGACCGGGGGCGGGCGGGTGGCCGGACCTCCACGAGGTTCCTTGCAGCCCGGTCGGACGTCGCGAGGTGCGGGGCGGCCCAAGCAGGGCCGCCCCGCACCTCCCGGGGTCCGACCGGGCCGCTGACGCCCCCGTTCTGTGCCCCCCCCCCCCCCCCCCCCGGGGCGGCCGATCCGGGGGGACGGACACATCTTCACCGAGGCGCAGTGCAAGGTGTGCAGCGCCCTGCTCATCTCCGAGTCGCAGCGGCTGGCGCACTACCAGGTAAAGAACGGGGAGCATCCCCCCACCCCAGCCCGCCCCCCGGGCGCGGCGGGGCACAGAGCGGGTCTTTCTCTGCTTTCCCCAGAGCAAGAAACACGCCAACAAGGTGAGGCGGTACCTGTCCATCCACGGTGGGGAGGAGGGTGCCCACGGGAAGAAGATGAAGCTGGAGGCAAAGCAGGTGAGCGGGGACTCGATTGCTGCCTGTCAGTAAGGTGTGTAAATCAGTGTCTGTGAAGTGTGGATGATAAGTCATGAGGAGCAGCTGAAGGGGCTGGGGGGGCTCAGGCTGGAGAAAATGAGGCAGTTTAGGCCTTATTGCTTTCTACAATTCCCTGGCAGGAGGTTGTAGCCAGGTGGGGGTCAGCCTCTTCTCCCAGGCAACCAGCCACAGAACAGGAGGAAAAGGCCTTAAGCTGTGCTTGGGGAGGTTCAGGTTGGACATCAGAAAGAGTTTCTTCATGGAAAGGGTTGTCAGTCCCTGGAATGAGCTGCCCAGGAAGGTGGTGGAGTCACCATCCCTGGTGTCTGAGGAACGACTGGATGTGGCACTCAGTGCTCTGGTCTGGTTGACAAGGTGGGGATCAGTCACAGGTTGGACTTCATGATTTCAGAGGCCTTTTCTAATCTTAATGATTCTGTGATTCTGTAAAGTGTCTGAGAGGAAGATAGGACCAGATAGTGTGAGAGGATGGACCAGGCTCTGCTTGGGGTTGTCCAGCAATAGGACAAGAAGCAACAGGCAGAAGCTGATGCACAGGCAGTTCCACCTGAATGTGAGGAAGAACTTCGTTCCTGTGCAGTGACTGAGCACTGAAACAGATTGTCCAGAGAGGGTGTGGAATCTCCCTCACAGGAGATATCCCAGAACAGTCTGGATGCAATCCTGTGCCACGTGCCCTGGGATGGCGCTGCCTGAGCAGGGAGGTGGGACCAGATGACCCACTGTAGTCCCTTCCAACCTGACCCATCCTGGACTCCTCAGGGCTGAATATGGCACAGCAGGACCTGCTGGACTAAAGGCTGTTTAACAGCCTTGTAAGTGAATGAGGAAAAGACTCTCAGAAAGGGCATTGTGAGAACTGAGGAGCTCAATGGCAGGTGTTTCACCAGCCCTTGTCCCAGCTCTTGCTGCCCTCCCCAATCAAACAGCCTCTGTGACTATTTCTTCTCCTTTTAAACAAATGCACGTTGCCTTTTTTTGATGGTTTTGCTTGAAATTGCGGAGAAAAAATAGGAGCAACAGCTTGTGAGGAGTATTGTTGCATAACATCACACAGAGCACATTGGGTTCACCATCCACGGGAATTTGCTTCCCAGAGCAATCCTTGTTGTACTTGTGTGGGTTCCCTCAGCCAGTAGCTGAAGCCTGTTGGTCAGTAAAGGCCCCACGTTCCATTCAGCCATCTGTCTGCCCCTGGCTCCCTTGGGGAACAGATTCTACTTTTATGATTGCTTCAGCTCTAATCCCTAACTCTGGCATTTGCAGGGAGGTGGGGGATAATGGCGGATGCCTTCGCACATAGTGTCAGGCTGAGAACTGCCTGGTGCTCCCTGTGCTGCTGGAATCATGTTGCAGATGACCCAGCTGATAGTGATGTTTGCGCTGCTCAGTTCACACCTTGCAGGGGACGAGGCTGCCTGGTCCAGTTTTGGCAGCCACACACTTAACCATGTCCTTCACCCAAACAGGCGAGGGTGGCCCTTCTGCCTGGAGTGTTTGCCAAAGGGTTTAAAAAGGGTAATCTGGTGCAAGAACACTCTACAGTAAGGAAGAGCATGATGCTGCATCATGGAAGTCCTACTCAGTCACACTTCTTAGCACCCAAATGTCTCTGGCTACCTTTTCTTAGACTCTGAAATTGTAGCATTTCTTGTCATAACCTTTTCTCAGAACCCCCAAACTGTAGTGTTTCTCCTTATAACCAGGAGGCTGGACGGGGTGACCTGCAGAGGTCCCTCCTGGCATCAGCCACTCTGCGGTTCTCTGTGCACAGGACAGCAAGCAGGAAGGCAGCAACGGGGAGGACAGGAACAAGTGTTGTCCCATCTGCAACATGACCTTCTCCTCTCCAGCCGTGGCAACATCTCACTACTTGGGCAAGACTCATGCCAAGAACATGAAGCAGCAGGCCCCCAAAGCGGAAGGTATGAGTGTCTGCAGTGCCTCTGCGTTGTCCTGAGGGGCTCTTGAGAGGTTTGTTGCACCCCAAGTGTGAGCTCTTGTGAGGGTGTGTGTGCTCTTTGTTATGAATTAGAAGAAGCAGTGCACCTCCACAGACCTGGCTGTGACAGTCTGCTCAGTGGGCAAAAAAGTTGTGTGGATTTTTGGTTTGCTTTGTTTGGGAGAAATGCAGCTGGTAGCAGAGTTGTCCCCATCCCTGTGTGCAGGGACCAGGAGTGTGATGTTACACTGTAGAAATGCCTGTCACAGGATATGATGCTCACTGAAAGCTTACAGGGATTGTAGTGACTGGTGAAACTCCAATATGGCAAATTCCTCAGAGCTGCTCTGCTACAACAATGTGGCCTCTGAGGTTCAGGGACTGGTGAGCTGCAGGTAGCTGGGGACTGGGAGAGTACAGCTGAGGAGCATCAGTATATGCTTGTCTGACCATGTCTGCCTGGGGTGCAGCTGCCTGTGTGTCCCACCCCTTTGCTAGCAGCCGGAAAGGCCCGGTGGATGGGGAGGGAAACCCTCTCTCCAGGGCAGGTAGGGGCAGCCACGAGCTTGGTGGACTGCAGGTGCTCAGGATGGAGGGAAAACACAGCGTTTGAGTGCACCTGAGGGTGGCAGCTTGTGCTGGCTCTGAGCTGGGATCTTCCAGCCAGAAACTGTCCTGGGTGTCTTCATGGCTTTGCTAAGATGTGTGTGCAGAGCAAGGCCACCTCTGAGGTCAGGGTGGCCCGTGGGATGTTTTAATTCTTTGGAGCCCTTGCTTTTGGGTAAGACAGGAGCCTGCAGGGAGGGGTGGGCGTGCACTGAGCAGTCTGGTGCGTGCCTTGGTTTTGGCATGAGAAGAGCTCTCTGATCCCTAGAAGGTTTGTTGCTCTGGTCTTTGGCTGAGTGGCTGCACGTTTCTCCATCACACAGGAAGCCAGTTCCCTGTGTGGATTCGCTGTGTCAAACATAGTCCCGTTCATGCTGTTTCTCAGGCAAGACTCCTCCTGAACTCAGTTCACAATCAACTCTTGCAGCTGCACGGTGCTTCCAGAAACCCACTGCCTTTGCTGTGCAGGGGCTTGTGCCCCTATTCTGGCTGGGGAATGGTAACAGCAGGTGGAAGCTCATTCATACCCACTGTTTCATGAATACAGTCATGCTTGCATTAAGGAGAAATGTGCAAATCTGTTGGATTTTTTTAAACTCTGAAAGTTTTCCTGGTGTATTCTGACTTATCTTGCCACATGTTTTTAAATTCTGCGGCGTTATGGGAAGAGATTGGAGCATTGTGAATTTATCAAGGTGTCTTACATTGTCTAGGTTTGGGGGTTAGATGTAGCAGGTTATGAGTTTCAATGTGAGTTTGGGGGAAATAAAGTGACTGGGTTTTACCTGTGAGTTCTGAGACTGACCAAGAGTTTGGATCCACCCAACAGAAGCAGTGCCCCCACAGAAACACCCTGCTGCTCTCCCCACGTCTACTGCATCTTCTAAAGAAGAGAACAAGGACATTACTGACCCAGACAAGTTCTGTAGCCTCTGCCATGCCACTTTCAACAACCCCCTTATGGCAAAGCAGCACTATGTAGGCAAGAAGCACAGAAAGCAAGAGACCAAACACAAGCTGATGGCGCACTATGGCCGAACCCCTGATGCACCTGCATCGTCCTTCATGGGTGAGTTCTCAGCAGGGAGGCTGATAACCAGCTGGAGAGCAGGGTGGGAGAGCAACAGAATGTGTCTGACAGGCCTTTGGACGAGAAAGTCTGTGTGGAGGGAGCAGGGGAGAAATGCTCATGATGAGGGACTTGATTATACACCATAAGATTGATTTGGCTGTAACCCCCCAGCAGCAGATGTTTTAGACTGTAGCTACTCGTGACAAGCTTTGGGTTGTGTTTTGTGATGTTGTTTAATCGGGGACGCATCCTTTTTATTCTCTGTGCAGATAATCCAGGGATTTTGGCCAGTACTGTTTCTTGTTAGGTGATTGCATCCAAAATGGAAAGATAAAAGTGGCATTTGATGCTTAAAAATCATCTTTGGGGGGGACTAGCCAAAGATGGAAGGAATAGGTTTAACTGCACCTGCTGCTTCAAAGCACATGAAAGCCAGAGAGATTTCTCCCTGAATGCTTTTCTGCCTCTGTGTGGGCACTTCCATCTGATGAACTAATGCAACTCTCTCTGGAGCAAGCAAGAATGTGGGGAAAAAAACTCCAGAGCTATTAAGGAGGAACTTTAGGCAGACAGTTAAAACTCTTCTGGTTTATGATCTGCTGCTTATGAGCACTTGTATGTGATGAAAGCCCTCAGAGTCCAGTGAAAGCATTAGGAAAAGGCCCTTGTTCCTCCCAACAGCCTTCTGTTGGACCAGGAAG